TCCCTTCCAGGATCCTCACAATTATGAGACCTCGCCTGCCACGTTCTTCACAGAAGAACCTTCTCTATCTTGCTTCCATTTACACAGAAGGAGATGGCCCTTTGCCCAATCCAGGCCTCTCTTCAGACTGCAGTGAACAGCCAGTTTACACTATAGAGAGCTTGCAATGGAAGGCCAGGCAAGAAAATCAGGTTAAAAATCAAGAGCAGAGTATAGAGAAACAGGAAGATGTGCTGGAGAGAGATGATGGTGTAGAAGAGGTGGAGGAGGTGGAAGAAGAGATGGCAACTGAAGCATCTCCTTTGGAAGGACTTGCTCATCCTGGTAACACGGGGGCTATTGCTGAGAAGAGAGCAGCACTGCAAGGGTCTGCCTGGCAGATCACTGCAGGTAAAAAATGACTTTAAGGCTTATACAGTCTTCATCACTGGCAAATGTTAATTGAAATGTGATTCATGCCTCTCTGGGCCTGCCCAGAATTCAAATGTGCTTCAAAATCACCTAAATGCCAAATTTCCTAGTCTTCAGTTCATGTGCAGGAGTCTGTAGCTCTTCAACTCTTGAAATACTCTGAGGGGTTTTTCCCAGAGCATGTTATTACTGCCTCATCAAATTTTTAAATTTTTTAACCAGTTTCCAAACTGGTTAAAATTTCAATATATCAAATTCATGGGGCAGCAGCTGTGGCAGCTGAGAATGGCAAAGAAAAGGTGGTTGTTCCTTGGACTTGAGTTTGTCAGAGTTGGGGCTGTGGGAAGCACAGTTAGGCTGTGCTGGAAAGGGCCAGTCAGAAGCTCTTGAGTTTCATGCTCCAGGAAAATTGCTGTTAAGACAGGGTGGCAGGCCAAAGAAAGGAGCAAGGAGTGTTTTTAGAGGAAATAAACAGCATATTCAGAACTTTGTTAGCTTTGTTGTGGTAGCTGTACTTTCCCATTGGGGTAGAGGGTTTTGTAGCTAAGAATTTATAGGCAAGTGATTTCTGGAGGGACTTGAAGACAGGAGGAGGAGGTTGGTGCAGAGTGGCTGGAGGCAAAGTAGTATTTAAAGGAAATAATAAGAAGAAAGTATCCATTAGAAGGCAATGAACTCTCGTACCCCAGTCATGGTGAAATTTTCCCAAATCAGAAAAAAGAGACCACCCTAAGCAGCTTGGCTTGGTAACAGTGATGTGAGCAGCTTGTTAGAGTTGGACATTTTGGGAACAGAAGCAAAATTGTTCTGTTTCAGTGACTTCATTCAGATTAAGCAAAGCTTTCAGGAACATGTATTGTGTCCTGAACCACTTGATTTTAGGAAATATTCTGTTTATATAATTGCTTGTGGGTAAACAACTCACTGGGGAATGAGTTCCTGGGTGCAAAAGTGCCATTTTTTATATTTTTAGGTGTACAAATGGCTCTTTCCATTTACAGAAGTAGGCAGAGGAATTTTTTTTTTAATTCAAGTCTCTTTGTGTTTCAAATTAAAGTATGTTTAAAAGAGGAAGGTAAGTGAAGGGTTGCTCTGGAATACCAAGGGGTTTCTCCCAATGGACATTGTCTCACGGACATTTGAATGAGCTGCACTGTGTGGACTGTGTGATGTTAGATGGCACCAGATGTGTTCCTGTTGTCTCACTGCAGTGGTTTTCTTCAGAAGAGGTGACAAGGATAGAAACAAAATGAGGTAGAACTGTCAGCCAGACTTGTCAGCACCTGAGATTGTTTCTGGTGCTGAAGTTGTGTTAGGCAGATACTCACCTTGTTTTTTTGAAAATCACTCTGGGAAGCTCAGATTTGTTATTTATATTCTGTTTTTACCCAGATGAAGTACAATGGAAAGACTTTCCCCTTGGGAAACTCCCAGGTCAGACAGATGACCCTGATGGTCTCATGTTGGATAATTATTCCATGATGTCCCTGCTTGATCAGCCAGTGAGAGATGAGTGGAAGTCTCCCAATACAAAGTGAGTAATGGTGTGGGCAGGACTTTGCCCTTGAACCATAAAATGCATTTGTCTATCTGTGCCTTGTAGTATATGATGTGAAAAATTAAGGATGACATTTCCTTTTTACTTCTGTTTCACTAAATATTTTGACCAAAATACTGTCTGCTATCTCTAACATCTACTGGCTGCACTTCTCATGGCTTTTTCAAGTCGTGTGTGTTTGGCAGGACCATTGCAGTGCTGGTGTGGTAACAATGTGCACTTCAGGCTGTGCTGACAAGTCTCAGTGCTGTCTGATGCTGTCAGTGAGACACAGTCTGCTGTGCCCTTGGAGTGACTAGTCTGGAAGTGCAGAATTTTTAAAACAAGCTACTGAGAGTTGGTAAAGAATTTCTCTGGTGGTACACTAGCACGAATAACTTTAATGGGAAGAGCTGTGGCCTTGCAATTAAAGTGTTCATTAAGTTTTGGTTATGTTTCAACAAGAAGTCATCCTCTGTGTTCAGATATCCATCACAGAAAGCAGAACCATGAAGCAAACAAGCTTGCTGGGTGCACCTGGTCTTGTACCTTCAGTGTTGTGTCCCTTTCTCCTTCTTACCAGGCTTCCACACTTGTGGCTGCTTTTGGGATACTCAGTTGTTGCAGGGAGTCAAGTGAGGCAGTTTTAAGCCTCAGCAGCTTTACAGCACTGGCACGTTAGTTAAATGGTGACTTGCTAGAGCTTCCAGTCTGTTCCTGACTTGATAGCACAATAAAAGTGATCTGATTCTTTTAATTTGGAGGGCTTGTGAGGGTAATAGGCAAGGGTTTGGGGAGGTACATATGCCTGCTGCATGAGCCAATTTCTAAAATAAGAAATTACTTAGCATGCTGTGGATGGCCCCAGACAACAGTTTCTGTTGAAGTCCCTGTAAATGTGCTGGTTTCTACTTCTTAGTAAAGGCACAGGGGGGGCTGGTGTCCCTGTGCATAATGTTCTCAGGTTCACCACGTGCTGTGTGAGCATTTCACCTGATGCTCTCACTGCAAAGGACAAGTGTAAGGTTCAGGTGAAAATTGTTGTGTGGTTATTTCTGAAGTCGTGTCTCCCTCACCACTGTTAGTAGCTGGTAGCTTTTGCTTTGTGCTTTGTTACCTTTGCCTTTCTTGAACAAACTGATTACAAACTAACATTCTAACAGCTAAATGTTCAGAGCTAAAAATGAGAAATGACATTTTGGTTTGGAAATAAAATTTGTTAACAAGTTTAATGTGGTGTCAAAATTACTTTGGTGATGTGAGCTTTGAAATCAACTCAGTGCTTATGTGCTTTATTTCTCTTTCTCTCACAGCTCTGCAGAATTGAATGTTTCTGTGACAGGAGGGTTACTATGGACCCAGAATGACTTCCATAAAATTAAAAGTGGCCTTCAACTTTTCTAAGACGGCAGAGTGCTCTGCAGTTTTCAGTACTGAACAGGATAAGTGGCATGGAAGAACTAGTGATGGTGATGCGGAAACAGCCACTCCAAGCTATATATATCTTTTTATGATTTGTTTTTCTGAGTTTGACTGATTTTTACCATGTAAAATCAATATTTTATAAAGGTGGTATGGTTTAAGTTCCATGTGTAGTAAATATTGTCTTGTTTAACCACTGTCATGAGCTTTTAACTCTTGATGTTTGCCAAATACAGTTAGAGTACTTAAGAATCCTTCAGTGTTCTTGAATTTTTTTCATGGTTAACAAATACAACCAGCTGAAGGTAAAATTTCTTTCAGGATCTTCTTTATTCTTTTTCACTCAGGCATTCTGGAAAGTGTCCTCTGGTCCTCAATAGCCAGACTGTTGAGCCCTTCCTATTTCAATGCCATTAGTCCTGGATGAGTTTTTGTGGTTTTGCCAGGCTAAGATTGTGCTTCAGTTTCCATCTAGCCAGGAGTTCACATGGAGTTTCATGGATCAAGCCCAGTTAGAGCATGACTGAACAAATACCCTTGACAATTGTTTTTCCTCACCAGTTTTTTCAAATCACAGTCTCTAGGCCACTACTGTCTCTTTTTAATTAAAGTTTTAATTAAAGTTTCCTTGATGCTGTTTCTATTCATTATTATGCAAAGGTTGATCACCAGCACTGTGGCCTTTGCCAAGTGCTAGCATGATGACTGAAGAAAGGACCTGGAGGACCTTTGCTGGAAAGCTGTTGAGTAAAAGGACTTCCAGCTGTTTTTTCCTAAATTCAGTTTTCTCTCCCTGGTTTTTGGAGGCTTCAGTTACCTGTCAAAAACTAGGCCTTTAAGTGTGTATTTATTGCAGGGCATCTCAGTAAGAATATCTTGGGGTGTATCTGCAAGAGGGCACGACAGAACCCTGCTGCCAGTCCAGCCTCAAGCCATGCAGCAGGGACAGGTGTCAGTGCAGCACCATGACAGGGAATTCTCGTTCTGTGGAGCCCATGCTGGCAGTTTGTACTCGTAGAGAGAGAGCTTCAGCAATGGACAGAGAGCTTCAGCAGTACACTGGGTGGGACTGAATTGCAGCTTTAGAAGAACAACTTCATGGTTACTTAGGGCTGGCTTAGCTAAATGTCCATCATGTAAATAGTATTTCTATTTCGTGTCATACTGTTCTACTGCAGTCACTGTTGACTAGCCAGCCAGAAGTTGTTTAAAATGGAAGATGAGTTGTACACTTCCTTCTCTACAAACAAACAGTGCTCATGCAAAAGAAAACAAACATGAAGGAATTTTCATCTAAGCCTTTCCCCTTTCTGGTATTTTTTAGAAATTTATCCTTTTACCCAGCAGTTCCTCAAGCTTATCTAGGAAATGGTGGTCTAAGGAGGATTTAATCCCACCAGTGTGCTCTGTTTGCTTCCTGAAATGCTTGTATGCTAATGCACGCAGCATGGGGAATAAGCAGGAAGAGTTAGAGGTCAGTGTGCGGGATAAGGGTTATGATCTGGTAGCAATAACAGAGACATGGTGGGACTGCTCACATGACTGGAATGTGGCCATGGATGATTATGTGCTTTTTAGGAAAGATAGGGCGGGGAAGCGAGGTGGTGGAGTTGCTCTTTATGTGAGAGAGCAACTAGAATGTATTGAGTTTTGTGCAGGGGCTGATGAGGGGCAAGTTGAAAGTCTGTGGGTAAGAATTAAGGGGCAGACTGGCGTGGGTGATACAGTTGTGGGGGTCTACTACAGACCTCCTGATCAAGGTGAGGAGGTTGATGAGGCTTTCTACAGGCAGCTGAAAGCAGCCTCACAACTACAGTCCCTAGTCCTCATGGGAGATTTTAACTACCCCGATATCTGCTGGAAGACTCACTCAGCCAGCCTTTCACAGTCTAGGAGGTTCCTCCAGTGCATTGATGATAACTTCTTAATGCAAATGGTGGACAAGTCGACTAGAAGAGGAGCGCTGTACTAACCAACAAGGAGGGCCTTGTTGAAGCAGTGGTGGTCAGTGGCAGCCTTGGCTGCAGTGATCACGAGGTGGTGGAGTTCAGGATCCTGTGTGGAAGGAACAGAATACTCAGTAGGATCAAAACCCTGGACTTTCACAGGGCAAACTTTGGTCTCCTCAATCAACTGTTAAGGGAAATCCCATGGGACAGGGTGTTAGAAGGTAAAGGGGCTCAAGATAGCTGGTCAACATTCAAGGACCACTTCTTGCAAGCACAGGATCAGAGCGTCCCAATGGTTAGGAAATCTAGTAAGGGTGCTAGGAGACCTGCATGGTTAAAGAAGGAACTACTGGGCAAACTTAAGTGGAAAAGGAAAATCTACAGATCATGGAAGGAGGGGCTGGTCACGTGGGAGGAATATAGGACTGTTGTCAGAGGATGTAGGGAGGCAATTAGGAAAGCTAAGGCCTCCTTGGAACTTAACCTTGCAAGTCAGGTTAAGGATAATAGAAAGGGCTTTTTCAAATACATAGCTAGCAAAACTAGCAATAGAGGCAATATTGGCCCATTGAGGAATGAGGTGGGAGCCCTGGTGACAGAGGATATAAAGAAGGCAGAGGTGCTGAACGCCTTCTTTGCCTCCTGCAGGATTTCCCCATGAGCCCCAGACTCATATAGCCCCAGAAGTAGTCAAGATAGAGGGAGCTGGCGGAGGTCATTGCTAGGCCACTCTCCATCATCTTCAGTAAATCATGGGCAACAGGTGAGGTGCCTGAGGACTGGAGGATAGCAAATGTCACTCCAGTCTACAAGAAGGGCAAGAAGGAGGACCCGGGTAACTATAGACCGGTCAGCCTCACCTCCATCCCTGGAAAGGTGATGGAACAACTTGTTCTTGTGACTATCTCCAGGCACATCAAGGACATGGGGGTCATCAAGAGCAGTCAGCATGGTTTTATCAAGGGTAAATCATGTTTGACTAACCTCATAGCCTTCTATGAGGAAATTACTAGGTGGATAGATGATGGTAGAGCGGTAGATGTGGTTTATCTTGATTTCAGTAAAGCATTTGACACCGTCTCCCACAGCATCCTTGTGGATAAGTTGATCAGGTATGGGTTTGGTGACCAGGAAGTGAGGTGGATTAGGAACTGGTTGAAAGGAAGGAGTCAGAGAGTTGTAGTCAATGGGGTAGAATCTGGTTGGAGGTGTGTTACTAGTGGAGTCCCACAAGGGTCGGTGCTGGGACCGGTGTTGTTCAACATCTTCATCAACGACCTGGATGAGGGTATAGAATGTACCCTCAGCAAGTTTGCTGATGACACTAAGCTGGGAGGAGTGGCTGACACACCAGAAGGCTGTGCTGCCATTCAGAGAGACTTAGATAGGTTGGTGAGTTGGGCGGGGAGAAACATGATGAAATTCAACAAGGGGAAGTGCAGAGTTTTACATTTGGGGAAGAACAACACCATGTCCCAGTACAGGTTGGGGGCTGAACTGCTGGAGAGTAGTGTAGGTGAAAGAGACCTGGGGGTCCTGGTAGACAGGAGGATGACCATGAGCCAGCAATGTGCCCTTGTGGCCAAGAAGGCCAATGGCATCCTGGGGTGCATTAGAAAGGGTGTGGTTAGTAGGTCAAGAGAGGTTCTCCTCCCCCTCTATTCTGCATTGGTGAGGCCACATCTGGAGTATTGTGTCCAGTTCTGGGCCCCTCAGTTCAAGAAGGACAGGGAACTGCTTGAAAGAGTCCAGCGCAGAGCTACGAAGATGATTAGGGGAGTGGAACATCTCCCTTATGAGGAAAGGCTGAGGGAGCTGAGTCTCTTTAGCTTGGAGAAAAGGAGACTGAGGGGTGACCTCATCAATGTTTACAAATATGTAAGGGGTGAGTGTCAGGGAGATGGAGTTAGGCTTTTCTCAGTGATGAGCAGTGATAGGACAAGGGGTAATGGGTGCAAATTGGAGCATAGGAGGTTCAAGGTGAATATCTGAAAAAATTTTTTTTTACTGTGAGAGTGACAGAGCCCTGGGACAGGCTGCCCAGGGAGGTTGTGGGGTCTCCTTCACTGGAGACATTCAAAACCCACCTGGATGCATTCCTGTGTGGTGTGCTCTAGGTGACCCTGCTCTGGAAGGGGGGGTTGGACTAGATGATCTTTCGAGGTCCCTTCCAACCCCTAAGATTCTATGATTCTATGATTCTGAATCACCTGGTTTCTGGCCATGGTGAGAGCAGACATGGGGACTTCAGGCCAATCCAGGTAGAAATGATCTTTGTACACCATTTTCTTTTCCTTAGTTTTACTTCCCCCCTGACAAGTTAAAGCAGTTTGAGTCAAAGCAATGGTAATAAATGACATGGCACCACAGTGCCCACAGGAAGGGGAATGATGAAGTGTTCAATTAGCAAAATAAAATGTGTGTAATATAGAGATTGACAAGGGATGTTTTTCTGACAAGATAGCAGGACCAAAATAGTAAGTTTTCCTCTACTTTTATAAAAAAACTCATCCTGTTCCTTCACAGATTGAAGCACATTGGGTGGAAAATCAGAGCATTATGTATAACTTCAGAATCTGGGTATTTTTCAGTAAATCAGCTAAAACATTGAGAAATCATTTGGACAGACTACAGCAGTTGCAGATTCTGGGGATCTCACCTGAAGAGGGTTACAAAACAAAAAGCTATAAGCAAGCGATCCAATGGCTATCAGTTTTATTAAATAAGCATTTCTCTCTCTATTATATAAAGTATAATATGTTTAATATTATTAAATAATTGTGCAAACCTTTTACACTGGGGCAGGGGGAACACGGACACACACAAGTCATAGCCTTCTTTTAGATTCTTCTCTCAATTTTAAAAAATACATTTACGTGCTTTAAATACCATAGATCCTGTGTAACAGCTCTCCAAAAGCACTGATCACTGGCAATGAGAATAATTTAAGGGACAGTGCACTTGTATTTTTTCAGTTGAAATACAGCAGGAAATAGTTAATAAGGACTCTGTCATACAGACAAGCTCTGGGTGCATAAGAGAAGTATAAAAGCTGAACTCTCACCCTAGATTTAATAGAAATAATGATCTGACTGCTCTGAGTCCTGTAGTACTCATGCCTCAGGTAAACTGGCAAGTGAAGATAAAATAGTATTTCAGCTCTGTGGAGAAAAGTGCTAAATAAACAACACATTCCTTCTCTGTAGCATGGGGTTCTAAAAATTACTGTAGTCAAACATTGTTCCTTGAAAGGTTCCTGACTGGGGTTTGGTGTCCATCACAGCTAAACATGCAGAGGTCACCTAGGATTTTTTTAGCGGAACTATTGGAGCAGACCCTTTGCATGCTCTGACTTTATCATTAAGAATTTCAAAATGCCAGAATTATTTGAGGCAAACTGGCACTAAAAGCATGTAGGGAGGAACTCTCCTAGATATGTTTTGGTGCTTTTGTTTGTTTGTTTTGTGGGTTTTTTTAATTATTTGTTTGGGGTTTTTGTATGTGTTTGTTCTTGTGTTTGTTTGGTTTTTTTAAATTAGGATCTTCCTGCTTTTTCTAAGCAGCCACACCCACACCTTCTGTATTTCTGTTCACAATCCAAGCACTTTTACAGAAGACTGGTGCCAGGGCAGCAGCAACTACAGGAGTTCACACTCAGTACTACAGAGACTTAGAAATGCCACACTGGTTTCACAGCCATAGTCACTCATGTTGTCTTCAAGACTTACATTATATTTGGGTCAACCAAAAAAACCCAAAGATATTTATAAAATTTTACAACAATTAAACAGTAATGTTTAATTCTACAAATAAATAAAGCCAACTACTACAGCTCAATACAGCAACAGAACTAAGTACAATCAAATAGATCACTGACATGTAATTCTTACAAAAACCAATAATTTCCACTGATATCCTACAAAGTGTTAGATTTTTGATTCATGAATTGGAGGTTACACACTTTCAAGTTACAAATTATGTGAAAGTAATGTAGCTAAAGATGAAAGATCAGTAAACCAGAATTCCCAAAGAACGCTCTGGTCCCAGTGAAGCACTGAAGTCCACTTCTCAGCTCTTGCTGTTTGCAGGAGTCCAGGCCTCCCCACTTTATTTTTTTTTCTCATCTAGAATTCTAATCCATGAATTTTATTAAAATATAGTTTCTAGGACTGTTGTTTCACAGTTTTAAAAACATTTAAATACCATGCTCTCAAAAAAGAGCATTTATACAAAGTCTTATATTTACAATATAGACAGTTTTGATCAGGTGTTAGTAAGATCAACTCTTCCAGGTAAGAAGAAATCTAAGTTTATGCTCTGAAGATGAATGAATGTGTCAGGCTTGTAAACGTATCTGAAAACAGATGTGGATGACAGAATTACCACTTAAAGTAGTTGGTGAGGAAAGACAACATCACATACAGAAGTTTCATTACTTCCAAGGACTAAACAAGCACAAAATTTGCAGATTATTTCCACAAGGCTACACTGTCTGTAACCACCCATCTCAGGTGCTAACAGCTCCTTAGAAAAGGACAATTTGCCTTTGGAGTGCCTTAGGGAAATAGTATGCTGGGTTGGGATTGGCACAGCATTCCCATTGTTAAAAAGGAATTATTCTATCCATAAGACAAAAGTTAGTGAAAATTAAAGTGACCAGACAAATCCTGCAAAAACTAGTATCTCCCTAAACCACCCAACACTTCCAACAGAAACTTCTGCTTAGTTTTCCACATTAGAAAACATAAAAAACACCTCCTAACCTCTCCTTAAAATAGCTTATCTTGCTAATTTGAGAAAAAGGGAACAAACATTTTTCTACATACAAATATTTAATTCCATGCAAGATGGAAAACGTGAGTGCACAATAAACTTCATTTGATACCTAAATAATTTATAAATTAACCCGTTAAGAGTAATGCAGGGTCCAATTATATTGGTACATTTAAACACATGCAAATGAGTTAACAGCAACATTTTTACATAAAGTTTAGTGCAAGAATGTATCTGCTTAATAAATAGACTAAAGAGAACTATGCAATAATGTTTTGAGGTGTACACACAGTATCTGTGTACATAATAAACTGGTTCTGAAAAGTTGTCCTTGTTTGTCTATTAACAAGTGCCCATTTTAAATAAGTTTAAATAATTACTCATGGGCTACTTCCCTGTGACACATGGTGTCACAAACATTGTGGTGAAAATGTAATACTGAAGTTAATCTAGAGAATTATATCTTTTTATACACAGTTTTATACAATCAAGAAAAAAGAGATACAATTTGTATCAACAAACAAAAGGTCACTTCTGGTTATTTGAGGCATTGCTCTCAGCTGCTTATACCATGCAAGATAAGAGAATTAATTGCAAATTAAAAATATAAAATCATTAATGAGAAATATTTTTGAAAACTAGTCAAGAGGTAAACCTGTTTTCCCCAATTATTATAAATGCCTGGAGATTTTTTTCCTCCATTAACAGAAACAACAACCAACTCCCTAAACCTTAAGCTAATTTTAAACACCAAGTGTAAATACAGAATCACCTTCAAGATAACTTATTTCAAATCCATACTGACATGGTCATAATGTATGTTACCTGTACCAACACACATATTCATCCTGTGAACTGTAGTTGCACCTGTAATTGTGGTTTGTCATTGTTTTCGGTTTGGTTTTGTTTTTTGATGTGACAGGAACATATTTTGCACATGATAAAGATCTCCCAAGGTATTTTGAATCAAACCAACCATTACAGTAACACAAGTGGAGGAAATGATACAGCTTTGTTCCTCAAACAGATAACTGGAAAGCAGCATGCAAGCCATTATCAAAACACCAGAAACAACCCTGACTGCAGCCTCACGTTCAGTGTGTTTCACAGTAAGAAACATTTAGGCAGTGTCACACCTTCTCATGAAGAAACAAAAGGCCAGAAACCAGGCCTTCTCGACTTTCATGAAAAAAAACTACAGTAGAAGTCAACAAGTCCTAGCTCGAGACATATCGAGTTAGTAATGGTTTGAAATGCTGAAATATACAATGGATTCAAAAAAGGGCGTCCAGTCAGTGCAGCTTAAAAAACAATAAATGCCTCTTTTGGAGACATTTAGCTACAAAGGTTCCCACCCCAAGCAAGGTCCCAGTTGTGCAAACAACGGCACACCAAGTTACATCACCTGTTGAAACAGGACTTCTTGAAAGCCTTCCTGAGGCAAATGCACACCTTTGCTGGATCTGAAGAGCCAGAACCAGGCCAGCTTTGCCACACCCCCAAACTGCAGCAACTCTTTTCAAGAAGCAGCCTCCACCCCCACCTCCAGTTGCTCTTGTACAGCCCTCAGGATGTCAGACTCACTCAGACACCATCCTCGCTGCCGAGGAAAGGCTGTGGTTACTGATGAACTTCATGTTAACATCCAGTTTCTGCTGCTTCAGGTCGAGTAATCCCATTTACACAAACCTGACAATTTACTTTCAGCTTGTCTAGTCATCTGGGCCAGCAGGTGCTTCCTGCACAGTGCAGAGGTGATTCTGAAGAGAGAAGCTACAGTTAAGCTTCCTGTAGTTTACTGATTGTTGCTTCATAATAGATACTCAAACTCTTGGGAACAGTTTTGAAATTTAAGTCCCAACAACAATATTGATATTCAAAAGCTGAAATCAGCTTCTCTGTTTACAAATTGAGTATTTTCATTTTTGTCAAGTTTACTTTTTCCTCAATATTTGATACGCCAGCAGGCAGTGTCAATGGCAAAGCTGAAACCCCAGGACTCAGCTGGGTGTGTACAGAGCAAATTGTTAATAGGCCCATTCAGTATTTATAAGCAAATTGAAAGTGTACACTGATACATGCAATATAATTGCTGACAATAACTTTGTAGTAACATCTTTGACACACTGAATGTGACATTGTAATTCTTAATGAGCTATCCATGCAGCAAGGTATGCATTTCCTATAAAATACTATTAAAAATCCTTATATTTAAAATCTTAAAATTTACAATACAGTCAATTCTTCTATAGTGAATATAAGTATATGAAGTATATTAATTGCTACTGTGTACAGAATTTTATACCGTCTTAGTAGAAAATATTTACAACAGATCCCTCCTTCTTCATTTCAGCTCTCCCCCAGGTCCTGTATGCTGTCCAGTTTCCTTTATCCAAAAGAGGCTACAAAGCTTCAACGCCCTGTTCTTAATTTGGCAACAATCATAGCTGCCAGCTGTTGTGCATCTGTCATGTGGGGATTCTTTTCCATCACTGAAAGGACAATGCTCGGAGGGAAAATATTGCAAAGGTTCTTGTATGTTTGATACTGATGTTCTGGGATGATATGTGGTTCCTGTGGCTCACCACATATCCCGATCCAGGGGTTCCTCCAGAGCTGCTCCATCTTCTCAGGCATGCTTCTTACCATTACAGGTTCGTAACACGGCTGCATGAGGTTGTTACTCAGTGGATATGAGTGGTAAGTGTAAGAGTCTGATGCACAAGGCAATGGGTCCCAGCTGGCGTGCTGCTCCCGGCACAGGGGTGGCCTCCTCTGCCTCCCAGGGTTACTTTCATAAAGCCGCGAGTCAGAAATACTGTCCATTCTTGTCATCACCAAGGCACGGCTTGGCTGGGAAGTTGATGGGTGAACATTTTGAGGCACAGGGTATTCTGCTGGACAACTGGATCGTGCTCCAACAACTGCATGCTGGGCATGTAGGCCTAAGTGGGAAACTGACTGTTTGCGAAGGGCTTGCTTAGGCTCCTCAGCTCCGTAACTCTGAACTCTACTTAAGGCTTCATGGTACCCATGGGAAAAAGGCTGCAGACGATTTTGCGGTGGCAGTCTGTGGATCTTCACATTGTCTTCTGGACTGGCATCTGCTACACCCAGGTACAAGTCATTGTAAGAGGAATAAGAATCATTACTTGAATGGCTTAAGCAATTGTCAGGACAGGGGCTTGAGTTTCTAGAATATATACCCTGGTCCACATCAGCCCCGTAATAATCTGTGTTACGGATACTACTTATGCTCAAGTTGGAGAAATCACTGAGTAAGGAGTAATAGCCATGGTCCCCCAAGGACTCGTATTTGGGATACTGGTCAGTATAGCTAACTGAGGTGCCATGGCTATTGGTGACTAGTATAGGAGGATATTGCACACTGGACATATGCTCCAGTGAAGATTTCTGATGTATGAACTGTGAGGAACCTGGCACCGGGCTGCTTGCAGAACGAGTATTTAATGCCCCAGCTGCATGGCTTTTTGGAGGAGGGAGCGTTGGAACACTTAACGCAGAAACCAGTGACGGGACAGAGCTGGCCTCGAACTTCCGGGCTACTGAGAACTTTTCCTCAGGCTCCACAGCTACTGATCTAATGCTTGGATCTGACTGACGTTTTGGGGCAATGCGTTTCACTTCAGAACTGATTTCTCCTTTGGAGCTGGATGGCCCTGTGCCACATTTGGCCAGGGCTCCCTCACTCATAGTTTTCACAGCAGATAATTTGGCACTTATTCGAAGCTCATCCGCTACTGACCTTTGAGGCTGGTTTGCCCGTTCTGGGTGGTAATATTTACATTTGTGCCCATAGGTGCACTTTTTACCTGGAAGAAAAGCATTTTCAGGTTAAATACACATATTAAACACACCAAAAAACTAATCAACACCACCAGTTACTATCTTTGGATCTTTCACCACTTCAATATATATATATAACAATGTATCTATACTAACCCCCCAAGAAATAATTTTATATATTATATATACATGCAGTCACAGACTGCTGCTTGCATCGCTGTGTGTCACTGCAGCAAGAGCAAGACTTTTCCTTCCACTAGCTCAAGATTTCAACACTGACATCCTCCACGCTATTTAAACCAAAACAGCTCTAACACAGTTTGTATAGTTATGAATCTCCTCCCCTGAATATAGATCAGAAGAGCAAAAACTTGTTACCCACAAGGTGTGTCTGCTTGTATCCACAAGGTCTATCCTTAAATTTCTGCTACATTGTTTTTATAAATACGTGTATAAAGGGTATCAAAATGCACATAGTGATTGGATGGCAACATCAAAAATGGTTTGGTTTTTTTTCAGTAATGACAAGATGTTCAATTTCTTGCCTCACCTACCTTTGAAAGCAACAGATCAGTCTGACTTAGGCACTTACCATAAGGACACGGTTGTTTCTTATGCTCAGGAATAACTGGCCTTTTCCTTAAGAAATTTTCAAGGCTTGGCCCATGGCGTCCTAAAGGATCATCAGGAGGCATAAACCTAAGGAGAAAGAAATGAAATATGAATTTTAGCTTTTACTGAGGATTCTGAAGTAGCAAACTCTCTTTCAAAGAAAAATCCATACTTGTCATTCACAAAAGAATACATGAGCAGCCGCTCCTCGATGAACTTCTTCCATTCTGGTTTTTCATTTTGAAGATCCCGGTAGTTGTCATTTGATACGATGATGCCATCTGAGTCAAAGGCAAGTTTTACTATGAACCGATCATCATAGCAAACCACTCTCCTTCCCTGAACTCTTCGAGATGGAGTGAAAACAAGGATTTTTTCTTTCTCCAATTTACGTAAGATTTCTTGATCTGTAAAAGAATTTTAGTTGAGTAGCTTTTAAGAATGTTTTAAAAGAGAGAAAAGCAGTCTTTGAAATATGAAACTTCTCGCTCTCTTTTCTGACAAAGCATTCTGTAATTATGTTAACAGACTGTCCCCATTATCATTAAAAAATGCCTAGATGCAGAGTGCCATTTTATTTCTGAGGTTTCAAAGCAGTGGGCAAATTTTCAGCATTTAGGCTTCATAACCCTCTGCTCCTCTGTAAACAACTACTTACTTTACTCAATCTTCCTGAACATGTCAAGAACTCAGTTGTTACTAATTACAACAGCCTTCTTGCACACCTGCAGTGAAACCTAAGTACTTTCTGTGCATGAACACACACTCTGCCTCTTCAGTGTTCAAGATAATTCCACTAAATGAGTCACTAGTCTGATACTGCATATTTTGTACTCGCTCAGCAACAAAGAAGCAGTTGCTATATGCTCAACAATGTTTACTAATGGAAAATTATTACTTCTACTGCTCAAAAGTGTTGAAATTATCCAGTAATGTTACAAAAACCCCAGCATTCTTTACAGGTGCAGATACTTCAATGTTTGTTTCCTCAACAGCGAAACTGCTGTGTTTGCAAAGGACCAGTTGAGTGCAACATCACCCTGCAGCACCACATCCCCAGCAGCACCCACCAGAAATAATGACATGCTTGTGTGCAATACTTGAAAAATTTAACCAAGGACTCTAAGAAAATCTTGATCTCTTACCTGTAATTGGTGCATCAGGTCGAGACTGTTCTTTTCTCCATGCAGGCACAAACACAGTGATATCTTTGTGTCCTTTTTCCAGAAACCAATCAACAGCTAGCTGAATTCCCCGGCAGGAAAATCCTTCTTTATTCCCATGGCTGAAGAACATGCAAAAGTTTTAGAAACAGCAAGTACAAAAGTTACATTTGGCTTTGTTTTTTGTTGTTGTGGTGGTTTTGTTTTGTTTTCTTCTGAAGCTGCCATGGTCTAAGGATATAAGGGAAACAAAATCTGTAAACATAAGTAAATCTTTTGATTAGACCTGCTTACAAAATTGGAGAAAGACAATTATCCAGAGTAGTCACCAGCACAGTCAAAAAAACTGCAACTGAAATAATGAATACAGAAGCTGCAATAGTGCTAAAGCATTTTTCTTTAGATTTTGTGCATTCAGATTTTGCAAAATTTAATAATAAATAATAATAATAGTGATAATGATGTTAATAATAATAATAAACAATCAAATACTATCCTTTTAAATTTTCAGGTGCTATGCCTTTTGTTATGAGGGTGACTCGATGGTCCTTTTGAGTGCCTTCCAACCTGAGATATTCTATGATTCTATGAACAGAGTCAGTTCTAAGATAGGCAATATTAAGAACACACACACTTTTCTCCAGTTGCTGCCACATCATGCTCAGAAGAAACCCAAACAGTATAGAGACTGCAAATCCAACAGGAACAGAAAAAAGGTAAAGAAAAAAGCAAAATCCAATATTGGCGATATTGCTTTAGAGAAACATCTGGACTGATGTAACCACAACTTGGCACTGGAAAATCCTGTATATGAAATATGCTTTATACAATCTGGGGAAGCCTTACATATTTCAAAACTGAGAGTACTCAAAACACCTATAAAAATCTGGATTTTCTGGAAAAAAATGCAGAACACAAATTCTTTTAGAGCAGAAAGCTGATACTAAAGGGAAACCTATTGTACAAACACTACCTGGAGAAATTGTGGTATCACTGATTACTACACAGGCTGTTTAAAGAACTCCCCCAGAGAAAATCAGACTTTCTCAGTGATAAATAATTGGGTAGCTGATCTGTGCAGACATGCTCAGAAGTGTAATGGGACAGGTATCTGTTGAATTAGTGTCGACCCAGCAGCCACGTGTACATGTCTGAAGCTACAAGCACCATAGCTGTGTAAGCCAGCTATGTTTGGCACATGCACATCCCTGCACAGACACAGCTGGATTGCAGCTGGATTCTGAGCAGCCTTG